TTTGGACATCAGATACGGGACATACCAGTATTATGGAACACTAGATCTAGCATCAGAAAGATGATGTTACGACAGCTATGGTAACAGGATCAAGCCCGCAGAACACCACAAATATAGTTTACGAAGGAATGATCGCACCCTAGATTCCTTTGTCAAACCTTATAATACTTGTCATGATGTATGATTTTTACCTAGTACGAACCTCTTGGTTAGGAGGAGCATTTGACGTTCGGATAACAATAATAATATTTTGTAGGAAGCAGGAGGATAACAGGAATGACGACTCTCCGGTAATATTCGAGTTCGTTTTCAGATGTGTATTGTATGACTATGTAAGATGTCCCATACTCTGAGTTGCGCTTATCTCGAGATACGTACCTACATATATCTTAAAAGTTCTTTCACTAAAACATAACACAACTATGCGGCATTTCTCATACGATGATACGTCAACTACGAACACATAATTAGTTTTTTTTTTCAAATGCCACAAAATATCATTTCTTATACATTAGTACTGCAAACACGAAGATACGTCGGCTACAAGTAGGGGAAATCATAAGCATACGGAGCGCATACACAACGTGATTGTATTAAATTTAATGCTCTTCCCCTCCATGTGCATATGGTCCCTGGGCACGATAGTGTCGAATACACCTGACTTGTTTTCCGCGCCCTAATTCCGCGCGAAGTAGCAATATTTTCAACAATATTAGCTTGGGTAAGCCGTTAAGACTACCTCGATTGACATTGAAAAGGTCGTTCTAGTACGATCTATGCAAATTATATACTAATGATGTCACAGATCAAGGCGAATAGGCGAGTTGCAGAATAATAGACCCCGAAACTAATAGTACGTACATACCGAATTAGGACACTTCTGGTGCTCTTATCCTTGTCATTTTATAAAATTCTGAGTGGAATCTGTTAATAGCAAGTAGTTACGGTTTACATAATGAATGATAAAATAGCATGAAAATACGGTTCACTTACCAAGTCATCAGCAAAAACACACGGCCTATCGGACACAGCCGCATTAGATAATATATAGACCCTAAAGACTATACGGAATCATGTATGGTTTATCATGTCTGGTGAGCTTGTTGTTTTTTTCATAGCAGCAAGCATGGACTATAGATATATAAACAACATCACAAAAGTAATCGCTCGAAGATGTAATGACGAAAGTTCAATAAGGAGAAAAACTTAGTTAGGACTATAGGATAGCACAACTAAGTTTTCCTAACCAGAGTTGCATTCCTTTCTGATGTAAGCTAAGAAACATAACTTTTTCCATAAAAGTCAATTTGTTTTGTTTAGGTAAAAAAAAATAATTTCCTCTCACGCTTGATTTAAGAATCGGGGAGGTCATACTAAATTACACTAGGACATGGATTTTTGCACAAAGGTACGTATATTCCTATACAGCCCCTGTATGAATGAACAGATGTATATTACTGATGCATGTACGTTTTCTCATATTTTCGAAGGATGCTTGTAACTTCATTAACACTACGTTCCAGCTTTTTCCGCATGCAATCTTGGAAATAGAATCAATAACGAGAGAATGCATTCACTACCGTAACTTCATCGTTGAATAAGGAGGTTAATGCACAAAAATAACTTCTCCGTGATTAAAACCGTATCTCATAATAACCATCCGGGATGTATGCTGATGTCACAATAAATCATCGTACAAATAGAATAGGTTGAAAGCAAGTTTTGTTAAAAAAAACGAATTGATCCCCGAAGCAAACTCCAAAGGAAACAAACACCGCACACAAGCCGAAAAAATTCACAAAATAACCAAATAGTCTCTGCCTAAGCAAACAAAATAAATGCCCTTAGTAAAACATTTAAAATGAGGAACGTAAATCCCATGAGAAACACACTCATGCACACAGGAATTCAGGCGCGTAGTATTTCTTATACGTGTACGTAAAAAATACGTACTATCGAAACCCTTCAAAAAAAATTATGTTCCCAACAGAGAACACACAAAGACCCAACCAATCCATGAGTAGGCATACGTGATGTTACAGATAGTCTACCTCTCACGATAACTCACTTATCCTTTAACGAAGCATAACTGCAAATTACCCGACACTGGTAAGCAACTATTCACTTACCACTAGACTCCTTCTCCTTGCTACCAGAGAAAGACTTGGTCCTCGAAAAGGCAAAGACAACATACCCCAGCAATGGCTGCAAAATCCTAAACCCCACCGACATTGCAAATCGCACCTTCATCATTCGAAAAACATTAACGCTAGATTCGCACATGATAACGCCCATGAACTAAGCAAACTCGCAGATGCTAACGATTACAAAATCCACATTTTCAAGCCCGCAAAAGCGCCTGCTTTCTGAGCACATGACACAATACAAGACGGTAAAATCTACTGATAACCCTCGTATTCCTTGATTTCCCTCCACAACTCCTGACGCGCAAGCGAGTTACCAACTGCAACACCCCAACCTGTCGTTGGCACAATGAAACCCTGATGTTCAACCACGATTGAGGTCACCAGAGCCTTGAGTATCTGCAACAATAGATCCCTGTCACCCTCATGAAGCCCAACAGGAATCACTTCACCATAACGACGAAGATAGAAACGAAGAGAGACTAGAGACCCCTGAAGGTAGGAAAAGCCCACCCCCACACGTAGAATTATGTAACCATTCACATTTACATCATACGACTGGGTCATGGTACGACCTTCCGGTAATGAACCCCATGGCTCCACCCCAATCGTAGCATCTCGAAGATGCACCCACTCCAAAATTAGAATCGTATCACTGGCCACAGCGTCATGATATGCTACTGAAAACTCCATCACGCACGCTCCTTCTGCCCGACTTTGCTTCCTATACGCTCAAGGAAACCGCACAACGAGTTTTTTTTTCCTCACCCTCCTTCCCCTGGTTTAATTAACAAAAACACAGGGAAACGTCAATACTCACACGATACACACACACACACACACACACACACACACACCACCTTTACATGATAACTCCGATGACTACACCAGCATATGCCCGCCCTGGCTCACGATTGCTCGTCCCGATAAGATACCACCGCGAAAATCAGATGTCCTCGTTGATGCACGACCGCTCGCAGCAAACACCTTACTCCACACCAGATCACCACAATCTGCCCTATCCCCGATGCTAGAAATGCTGAGATCGATAGTACGATACCGACTTGTTTTGGCGAAGATCACTTCTACAGCTCCCCCGCTCCCTCAGCATAGCCATAGCCACTTACACACTCCGGATTTCCCGCCCTCCTAACCACGCGCCCCCTGCTTCTCCATTTCCGTGATCACCCTATCTCCCTCTAGCTCTCGTCCGCTCCACACCTCTCTCTCTCCCCCTCTCCCTCTTGCTACAACTCTCTCTCCCGCTAAACAGAGAGAGCTAGCATCACAAATAATTGCACAAATCCACGGACACCACACAATCACGAACGTACCACCTCACGTGAAATACGAACAATAAAGTGCTCACAAATACATCAACAATATGCACATATATATACTAGAAACAATAACAGTACAAAGCTCTAAGTACCTTGAAAATCCGCACGAACAGAAATGGTCACCCAATACACCCCCAACACTTAACCAGATGGGCCAAGCTATGAACATTGTACGATAACGAAGCATCACTGAATGGGCACACACATATACCCCTGCAAAATAAAAAATAATGTAGCCCAAAAGTAACCCTCAACCGAATTCCTACGTCGGATATCAACAAATCCAAAACCCACAACTAATCTACATCCACTAACACTCACAGAAGAGCCAAATCCAATATCCCTTTGAGATTCATGCACCGACGTATGGGTTTATAACTACAACCATACGGAAACATCTTTTTAAGATATATACCGACTAACCCATATAACCCCCAAACTAAAAGCTACACACATGTCCCCGAACCACCGCTGTTGTTACTCCAATCCCAACTCTTTCTCCGTCAAAAAACTCCTAACCCCCCCCCCATAGCAATGATGTTATATATAAATTTTTTTTTTCTTTTTTAAAAAAAAGGGGGGGCTACTTTTTTTAATAAAATCATACTAAGATCTCAATATAAGCCAGCACTATACATTCACGTCTTCACGACACCCAAAATGATATTTCTAAATGCAAACAAAATAATTTTTTTTTTAATATATAAAAATAAAAAAATACAAACATAAAAGTAAAGATAAAAATAAAAATAAAAATAAAAATAAAAATAAAAATAAATAATAAATAATAAATAAAATAATAAAATAATAAAAATATAAAATATAAAATATAATAATAAAAATATAAAATATAAAATATAAAATATAAAATAATAAATAATAAATAATAAAAAACAAG